CTCTCTCTCTCTCTCTCTCTCTCTCTCTCTCTCTCTCTCTCTCTCTCTCTCTCTCTCTCTCTCTCTCTCTCTCTCTCTCTCTCTCTCTCGTGCGAACATGCACACCCGTTTAAGTCCTAGCTATGGTGCCCAGCGCTGTTGACTGCCCTACATGGCATCCCCTCTTCCAAGTCACACCCAACGTCTGGTCGCACAAACGTGAAGCAACTCTTTCGTGACAGACCCAAATGACAGTTTTCCTTGCGCGGCACTGTAGCAGCGCTTTTGTACTCTGTTGCAATACTGCAAGGAAAGTGAGCGATAGCGAACATCAGAAACCAAGCAGCATCATACACATGATACCAGATAGTCGTGACCTCGAACCAAAAGCAGAATTGCATCACGAGTCCCACCAAATAGTAGTACAGCAAAAGCTCGTAAGTGACAATGTTCGAGTAGTCTCATCATCATCAACAAAGAACCAATGTCGACATCCTATCTGGCGCTCGGCCCCCAGACTACAAATGGCAGATCCTATCTAGCCTATCTACAATTCCGCTGGTGATGTCAAAAGCTCCATGAAGTACAAGCAGATCTCGGCCAATGCCGGCCAATGCCGTTCGCTTCAAGCACCAGGTATGTCTCTCGTATCACTCACAACCTCGTTCCCCAACTCACAGATGCCACATGCACCCAAGGACCACCATGCGCCCCATCCAGCATACAGCAGCGCAGCTCGGCTATGACTGCCTGCTCCTTCCAGCTCGCCCGTGAGCGTGTGAGCGCTGGCCAGCGTTAGCGCAGCAGCGCTTGCGCAGCATGCAGCCAGTGCCCGAATGATCAATGCGTGGGCAGGCCCTTCCCTATATAGAAGTGGCCTGCCTCTGCGTGCGATAATGCGGTACTGGGCCCCAGCCCAGAAGCGTCCGGTAGGCCCCGGGAGCCTGAGCCTTGGTACAGAGGAAACAGGCCCAGGGCCTGTGGTGGTTACCAGCGCCAAACTGCCCTCGCCAGTGTTCGGTCCACGTTGTGTATCCGGCCTAGGGCCTGCCCTAGTTACAGATGATAAATGGCAGCCTGGGCCTGGGCGCTTCCAACCAACTGGCGCTGCGCAACTGCCTGAATTTTGCCCAGTTGCGTAGTAGTCCAAAATAGGCCTCGGTCGGGCCTGCCTTCACTTAGGGCGGCCGACCTTGCTGCTAACAGGGCCCAGTGGGGCTTACAGAGGCCTTGTGCCTCGCAATATGCAATCTCGAACTTTTTCCGTTTCCCCGGTTGCGTAGTAGTCCAAAATAGGCCTCGGTCGGGCCTGCCTTCACTTAGGGCGGCCGACCTTGCTGCTAACAGGGCCCAGGGGGGGTTACAGAGGCCTTGTGCCTCGCAATACACAATCTCGAACTTTTTCCGACCCATACTTATCCCTGGCCTTTCTGGCCATGGTTGTCCGACACTTTCGGTAAGTACAAGACTTTCCTTTGATTGAGCTGCTGTTTTTGGAACTCGGAATTTTGTCGAGGACTGGACTTTTAGCAACCCACCGCAAACCGTGTACAGACCCTACAGCTATGATGATCGTATGACAGGACCTACCTGTTGGACTATGGTACTTGGGTCTTGGGACCTCGGGAATTGGACCGTGACTGGGGCGTAGGCACAGAAATGTATGGAACCCTTTCACTCTCCCCGACCTAATTTCGAGTTCAACCGAGAAAGCTACGACCTTTCTATTCTATTTGCAATACATGTACCTCTTTTAGCCATTCATAGTGTGAAACAATGTCAGGGGCTGTCTCACATAGCTCATTCCTAGTGTACCCGTACATCATCCTCGGGTTCCTGATACTAGAACCAGACCTTATGTTGTGGCCGTGGTCGTCTTCTTGTCCCAGATCTGTAGACATCCTGTCCGAGATCTGTAGACATCTTCGTCTACCAATTGCCTACGTGCAATCGACCATTCATATCAGGGGGAATCATTGACCTGCGTAAGGGAAAGGAGTTATCTGTCATGCAAGGCAGCTACTTGGATGCATAGAACACAAGATATATGCGCATAGGATGGACCATCTGCATCCCCTTTTACATGAATTACTTCCCATGGTCCTCTGCATGCGGGTAGTAGTGTCTGAGAGATCCCATCAGCTGGCACAAACTGTTACGGACTCCGCCAGGGCTCGATCCCTGGTCTATCTTTTTGCTGTTTCTGCTGCATCCCGTTTTCGGCCTGGCACCCTTTTTTCCAAACCCCTCCTTCGGTACCGTCAGATTTTGGACAACTGGTGCATGCTGCAATTCGGGCGCTACTTTCAAATACCGCATTTTTCAGCTCTGCCCTCAGGGCTTTTGCAGAAATGCCCCTGGTACCGTACGTGTCACCGGTACTTATACCGGCTCCCCGTACAGTACGGGGACCATTCTCGTACCAGTTTTCAGCTGCTGTACTGGTACTCAGTGTGACTTGCTGATTCGGCATTCGGAATCCAAGACTTCGACTTTGTGCCCTTGCCATTGTGTCTGCGTCCGACCCTCAGTCGTGTCGAGTGAGTGAGTGTGTGTGAGTGCTCTCACTCTCTCCCTCTCTCTCTCCTCTCCCTCGGCTCTCCCTCAGCCTCCCACAGCTCAATGATGCGTGGGTCCGACATATCCGTCTTGGGCTGATCATCGGGTGGGAGGGCGTGAAGAAAACATATGCCCATCTCCTTGATGTCGTTCCGCAGGATGGATTGGCGAATGCTCGCCGCGGATACCATGTGACAACCAATCGAAGGATGAGGAAGCGGCACCGTACACAGGACTAGTTCGCCGCACCGATCACGAACGTGAACGGTGCGTCGATGGACGTTCACCGGATGGTCTTCGCTTTGCAGCCATGACATGCCTAGGATCATATCGAACTTGGTGTCCAATATGTCGAAAGGCACGGCCTCGCATGTTAGCGGGGCGAAGTACACGGGCACCGAGTCAACGCATCGGTCGATTGACTTTTGCGTGTGACCATCGGCCAACGTGACGTGCGTAGGCTGACTTTTCCTTCGAACGCGTGGGCCAAGCCCGGCGCGTGCCATGAAGTCTTGGCTGATGTAGTTGTGAGTCGCTCCACAATCGATCAAGGCACTGCAGGTCGCCTTTCCGATCTGAATGCGGATGTAGAGGAACGGCGCGTCGTTGTCAACGTACAGTTGCGTTGCGTACTCGCGGTCGATCTTCGCAAGATAGTTACAAAGATCAACAACCGCTACTCCGCCGTCTGTCGACGGAGGTGGTACTGCAGCGTGCAAGTATTCGCATAGATGTGCCATCAGGGCATTGCAATGCGGAGTTGGGAAAAAACCGATGGAGGGAAGAGGCAACCATTGGAAGTCCTCAACCGTCAACGGGTCGAGTTCCTCAAGTCTCGTCCAAGTTGACGGGTCCTCCGATAGAAAGGCTGGCAAAGCAACCGGTTCGTTGAAAGAGCTCACGTACGGTTCTCTAGGGGGGGGGACCTATCCTAATAACCAACTTATCGAATTGTTGCCATTGAATCTAGTTTTCGACGCGAAGGGCGAGCTTTTAGAGAAGTAGGTATATACATACCCAAGTATAACAAAACTCAGCTGAATGTACCTGCTATAATTGAATTATTAAAAAACGGTGCTCAACCTACTTCAACAGTCAGAAATATTATTCTTCGAGATCAAATTGTTGTATAAACCTAAAAAGAAGATGAGAGGCCGAAGTAAATAAAAGAAAACGCAAGAGCGCCCATAGGATCACGTATACAGACGATTTATTTTTAGAATTGAATTAATTTCGCCAGATTATGGAATACATACGTATATGAATTGTTCGACGGCGGAACGGCCGAGCATACGCTTGAATCTTGCACGTGGAGGGGCTGGTTCAACGGTGGGACCAGCTTGACAGCATAGTTCTCAAACTCAACGCGAGAACTTGCGACTACCGTGGTGTCCCCGGATGTGAGAGAGGCTGCTAGCAAGGCAGCCGACTCCAGCGGACTGGGAAGTGTTGTCGCGACACTTCCCGCGGGGCTCAGTTTCCCGAGCCAGGACGTTTGACATTCTCCTTGTCCTTGTCGAGGCAGGCGCTGGTGATGTGTTTGGTGCTGTTGCACCACAAACAACATCCCCATTTCTGCTGTAATTTGAACATTTCTTCGGTGATGCCGACGCTTCTTTCGCCTTCTTTCCCCCTCGGGGTTTCGTGTGTCGCGGTGGTATCGCTGCCACCACATCTCCATCACTTGATGTTGAAGCGGCTGCGTGGTCCTCACTTGTTCCTTGTTGGACTGCTGCTACTTGCGGCGTCCGTTGTCCCTTGCCTTTCTCCACGTAACCGGGCTGTTGGTGGGGCTCGTTAGCCGCACGCCGGTTACCTTGTACAAGTTCTCTAGCTTTGGCGATCATGTCGTCAAAGTTCTTATACTCGAATTCGCTGCCGAGAGCAGCCGTCAAGGCGTCGCAAGATCGGGCGAAGAACTCGCCTCGGATTGAGTCGAACGATAGGTTCAACTCCGGGGTGGTGACGAGTCTTTGCCACTCCGTCAGCCATTCCCGCAACGGCTGCTGGCCTTGGAAGATGCGGAAGATTTTGTTCAAGGCGTGACGCTTGTCTTTGTTCACCATGAACCGGGTCTTCCACTTCTTTTCAAACTCCTCCCACACGATCTTCGTGTGGAGGGTGGCGATGGTACATTCGAGCGTGATGGCCATGTGCGTCATGAATGCTTGCGCCCTGCCTATAAGTTGGAGGTACAATGCGTCCATCTGCCGTAGGGGCGGAGTATGATGTACGTCGGCCTCCGCATTGAACACCATCCACCATTGCAACGGACCCGTCTTGTGGTAATCGTCGAACTTCTCGATCTTGAAGTTCGGCATCTTCCATTCCTTGGCGGCCGCGCGTTGCTGGACTTGCTCGCTGAGCGTCTTCAATCGACTGCTGACTGTCGAGGTTCCGGCAAACTTGCTGATGTCGCCAAGGGATGCGACGATGTGATTGATCCGCTCATCGAGCTGTTTGGCTTGAGCGGCCAAAGCTGGGCTGCTGTCTGTAACGGCACCGCCCGTTGACTCGACTGCGGACAGTCGTGCCATCCCGGCATCGACCGAGTCCTGCAGTCGGTCGTTGATGGCCTGCTGTTGGCTGTCGGCAGCCTGCAGCATGCCGGTGTCGGCCTGCAGGGCAGTGATGTGCTGATCCATAGCCTTGAAGTTGCCTTCATGGCGGATGAGGACCTGCAGCATAGCCAACAGTTCACGTTGCTGCCAATTGCACGTGTACAGCAGGTTCTCAATTAAGACTGCTGTAGTTTCCCTGTTTCTCTCGTCCTCAGTTGGTTCTTCTTGCTCCTCAGTTGCTCGGAAGTGCTGCTGTCGAAGTACTCTGCCGTATGCGGCTTCTTCGTTGAGAAGGTTCATGGCAGCCTGGAACCGAGCCTGAGTCTGACGTGCCTCGAGCTGCTGCTGCTGCTGCCGTGCGGCTGCTGCAGAGTCGGCAGCGGCCTGCTGACGTGCTGCCTGTTCCGCTTCTTGTTGGAGTCGGATGGCTTCCCGTCGGGCGGCATTCTCCTTCTCCCATGTGCGGAGTTCGGTGGCATTGGTCTCCGTATACTGTTGGAGACGCTCGAGAAACGTGAGTGCGTCTTCGTCTGCCCGTTGAACTGGCACAGGAGGGGGAACCGGCCTCTTGGGGCTGCCTGGCATGTTGCTGTCGGCGTGGCCGGCTGCTGCAGCCATAGCCGTGCGTCGCTTGCGCGGAATCTGTGGTGCCTTGGGTCCCTGTTGGGGCTTGGCTGCCTTGGATTCGCGATCTGCCAATCGTTGGCTGCAGCGCATTTAGTGTCCGGCTGCAAGTTGCTGCTGACGTGGCACTCTGCTGACGTGGCACTGTGCTGACGTGGCACTTCTGATGTGTCACTCTGCTGACGTGTCACTTCTGACTTGTCACTCTGCTGATGTGTCACTGCTGATGTGTCCGGAGACTGCAGTCTGTAGGACCGAGAGGAGGAAAGAGAAGGTAGGGGTGGGAAGAAGGGAGGGCAGGCAAGCAATGCACAGACAGTCCCGTTCCCCGCTGACCTTGACACTAATCAAGAGAAAAAAATTCCCTCCCCCCCGACGAATTTTCGAATTTCCGGAATTTAAATAAAAATTTTAATCGAAAAATAGGAAATAATAAAATTTTAATTTCGGCAAAAGATTAAGTACCTGATTAAAGAATATTTAAATTTGCAATAATTAATTTCACAAAAGTTAAATATGTAATCAGAATATTTAAATTTGCATCAATAAAACGTATTATAAAAGAAATGAATAAGTTTAAGCAAGTTTAAACATTGAGACATAACTTTCAAAAAAAATTCACGAAATTTCGTCGGAAGAATTTAGCATCATCACGAGGTCGCTCATTTAGTAGAGATGAATGGTAGTAGGAAGATACACAATTTTCAGGAAAGATTCAACCTTTCAAACGCAAAAAAAAAAAAAAAAAAAAAAAAAAATGCAGTTTGCAAAAAGTGAAAGTTCTGTGAAGTTGCAGTTCGAATATGGCCTTTGCTCAGGCCTGATCAGCCTTGATTGGCACGGTGCCTGGCTGGCACTTACTTCCTATAGGTTAGGTAGGTTGTTTAGATTAGGTTAGAACTAACCCTAATTAGCGCTAATTAGGTTTACTCGTAATTAGCGATTTCCTAATTGCGCGATATGGAGAAATGTCGCAAACCTAAAATTGTAATTTAACGACCTAATTAACCATGAAAGTACGAGAAAAGAAAAAAAAAATTTGCAACTTTGCGATTTAATGATAACAGAGTGCAGGTATAGATAATCAATCAATCAATCAATCAATCAATCAATCAATCAATCAATCAATTTACGGTGAGTCATCGAATGCTGGTCTGCTCCGATACTGAACTGTTGCATACTCGTGAAACACAGTCATAAGTATGGCGCAGATTCCCAGAACCGACCAGATAATACAGAGTTGATACAAATGCAAGCGGAAGACTTGAGATACCTTGGACTGACTCAGACCTGACTCGGACTGCAATCGAGCACTCTCAAACATTCATCGGGGGTGTGAATGCCCTGGCCTCAGGCATAGTAGAAAGGCCAGGGACTGAGATCATCCACGGATGAAGGGGGAGAGGGAGAGACGAAGGAGGAGGAGAGGGAAGATGACGTCAACTCAATGTCTCCAGAGATAGTATCTTAAAATGTCAGAAGCGACGAAAATCCGAAATGTCGCGCATGCCATGTCTCACAATATCTCAGATATCGATCGCACAATGTCAAGTACACCTTCAGAAGGAAGATGAAATCAGATCCCAAGTAGTCCTCAACTCGTAATCCCAATGTCGCTGCTCCAACCGTTATCAGAATTCGTAACCATCCTTCATACTGCAGTAGTCCCATAGGAGAACCCAGAAGTAGATTGAGACTGAGAAGGCAGGAGAGAGAGAGAGAGCTGGGGGTGGAGGAACAGAGGGAGAGAAGGCAGAGCCTTCCTCCCGGTACCTGACTGGTAGCTATGGTGCGGCAGGGCCGCTGCGCTGTTCCTCTCGCTGCTGCGCTCGCTGTCTCCTGGCTGCTCTCGCTAACGCTGCTGTGCTAATCTCCTTAACGCTGCGAAGCTGCGCTAATCCTGATGACTAACTTTCGTCCATACTAACCTCCCATTGAGGCTGGTACCCAGCCTTTTGTAGTGCTGGGCCGGCCTCTTTCCTACTGGTACCTACCGGCCTGGACCGTTGATCTGAATCGACGGTCCAGATTCAAACTGGGTTTGGCGCCAAAATGTGGCAGCCTCTGAAACGCCGCCGGTAGGTTCTAATCTGAACCGGTACCGGCCTCTGGCCGTTTGGGCCTAAACGTGCTCTGCTTCAGGCCTATCTGGGCCTGGTCTGAACCGTCGTCCCCCTAGGCCTACCCTGCCTACTGGGAACCGGACCCTAACTGGGGCCCGTGTGGCTCAGTATGCCACAGGATCGCTCCGCCCTTGATTTACATCAAAACTAATTTATTCCTTTATTGATTTATTTATTGTTTTTACAACTCATTTGAAATTCATGTAAATTCGAAAATACTTAATTAACTATCTTTCTTGACATATCTTTTTCAAAAATATTTTCTTTTTAAAAATTTTCGAAAATACGTAGGATTAATCATTCTGTCTTGGCATTTCTTCTTCAGAGTTCGAAAATAATTTTTATTTTTATTTTTTTGAAATTTTTGTAATTCGAAAATCTTTTAAAATTAATTAAATTATTTTTGGACAGTTCTTTTTTCGTATTTAGAAATACATAGAATTAATTAATTCTTTTTCGACATTCCTTTGAAATTCGAAACTACTTTTCATTCAAATTTTGAAAATACTGCAAGGAACATGAATGTGAACGAAGCACAGAAATCCAGATTGCAAAATCACACTGAAGTCCAAGTAGTCAAAGCAAGAGCAGATAGCACAATGGAACCGAGTAACCATCCATTTGAGAAAGATACAGAAGAATCGTGAGTCAATGTCCAAGCCCAATCGGGCAACACCAACAGCATAACCCAATGTAGCTCTCTCTCTTGAATGGAGCCAGGCGCCCTACCTACTCTACAGCCTATCACTACAACTACAGCATGGAAGCAACCAGACAACTTGACGACCAGCGAGTGATGATGTCAACACCAATGCCGACCTCCTCTCCACCAGGTACGTCTCTCTCTTCACCCTCACTCTCCCTTGTTATCCCACACAGCGCCCTTCACCTCCGAAGAACCACCTTCGCCCTTCACCTTCTCTGCGCCCACAGGCATCCCGGCTTTGGCCGCCAGCGCCCTGCGCCCAGGCTGCGCTCTACCGCTTAGCGCCAGCCTGCCCTCCCTCAGCCTAGCGCAGCGCAGGCACACTCGCAATGCAGCAGTGTGCCGGCCTTGC